ACGGTTAAGTCCCACAAAGAGCCCTGGGGTGAAAGACAAAATAATCTGCAGTTTTGTTGGCCCAAACACTGTGAGAAACTCCCATCTTTTTTCAGGGATCTTTAATTTGCCCCAGAAATACAGGCAGATGGGACCTGGGTTCAACATCTCATCCAAAAGATAGCGCCTATGTTCTTAACACAGTACTGACTCCCTGTTTGCACAGACTGATGAGGCCTGTGGGTCAATAGTGTGGCAGACTCATTTCAGTGAATTACAAGACACTAATCCAATTGAGGAAACCATAAACACTCAGCGAATCCTGCTCCTAGTGACAATCCTCAAGAGGATTACAGCTTCCAAATCGCTGACTGACTTTCCTTTGGAAAATAAGAGTAATGTGATAGTTCACAATACGATTGTGACAAACTGGCTGCCACGTTTGCCCACAAAATACACAGTCACCACACTTTACAGAAACTTTGGAAGCCAAGTATTATCTAAGTTCAATTTTACCTCGTGGCTTTTGAATTCTACGACTCTAGATATGAAAGGAAGGTTCCACTTGCTTTTGTTAGAGAACCTGCACATTTCCTCACCCAGGTATCACGAGCCGTTAAATTGCAAGAGGAAAATCTTAAGCGAGGCCGTTTGAATAAATTAAGAAAATGAAGCAGAAAAGAAACCCCATCCTCCAAGATCTTTTGTGTGTTATCCTTAATCACACAGTGTAATTAGCCCAACATCCACATGCACAGCACATGATTATTTAATTAGTAAACTTCTAAGTGGGACCAAGACAGCCATGGTTTTGTACCAGCACTGAATTAAATTATTTATGACCACAGAATTACTCTGTTAATCTGAGATCGAACTCGACCTCTTGCTGAACACGGCTTCCTTCACTGTTAGCCTGAAGCGTACATTTTATTTCTCATTTCACCTCCAGTTTCTGCTCGTCAGGAGAATTACATAGAACGACACAACACAGAAACAGGCCATTTGGCACAACTAGTGTTTATATTCCACACAAACCTCCACCCCTTCTATTCCCCTTCTCCTATATTCCTCTTGTCCCTTCTCCCTCATGCATTCTGAAACTGAGAAACTGAAATTCCCTCCTGCTGATGGCAAACTATTCTGCTCCTTCATTTAACATCCGAACATCAACAGAGAGGTTACTGAATGAGGACCAAGACCCTTCACTGATTTACTTTAGTCAACAACAACAACTTGCATTTACACAGCGCCCTTCCCCCGCCCCTCTCCCCCCCACCACCACTGGCTGTGATCACCCAACTCAACTCCTGCTTTGAGATATGTACGGCTTAGTACCTTCACCCACAAAATCATCGAGGAATAATTCACAAGATCATTTGAATCTTTCACTTTTAGCAACCCATGATTTTAAGTTGATTACGGCACCAAATTTTAAATGTGTTCACAATGGAAATATATCATAAGGAACTAAATACAGAAATCAAACTTGTTCTTTTGCTGAAATTAATCCTGCCTCATGATCTACTGCAGGTTTACATAGATACCCATCACTTCAATATCACATTAATAGGTCCTCCAATGAATAGAGTATTAATGGAAAGACAGTGCAGCTGATTAGCTCAGTGCAATTTCCTTTGGGTTTTTTTTGGCGATGTAGGTTAAGTCCAGAGGAATGAATCACAAAAGTAGGGAAGTTAGAGCACATTTAGAGTCCTTTGTGCAGTTCTGATCATCATTTTACAGGAGGAATATCACAGCATTGGTCGTTCATTTCATGGACATTTGTAGGATGTTGCTACGGGAGGGGTGAGAGAAGGGCGCTGTGTAAATGCGGGCAAATGAGGTGAGGCGTTTGTCTGCAAGTCATACATTCTCACTGCACTTTCCAGTGTATTCTCCCGGCCGCAGCCAGTATTGTCAAGCTCTTTGCGACGTCCTCCACTGTGAAAGGGGCTAATTAGGCCATCAAATGCAATTATTATTATTATCAGTGGTTCAGGAAAGCCACAAGTCTGGATGTGCAATTAGATCAAAAGTGATACTGGAACATGGGGCATGTGATAATAAAGTCCCCGAGGAAGAATCACTGATGTGCCCTTTAATACGTACACATTTTGTTCAATGGATTTGGAGAAATATCACTTCTTTCGAACTGTCTGATTTACTGGCAGAAATGCCTCAATACTTAATGGGTATTTTGGGGGAGTCTGGTTTGAATATTATTATGGATTTATTATAATCATATAATGGGTGTTTCACAATGAAAGGCCAGCCTTTTGCGATGCTTGGAGGTTAGCAAGTCCGGCTCCATTCATTCTTCTACATTACTTCAGGGAGTTTCCCTACTTTTTGCTGTAACCTAAATAAGAATTCCACCTTATCCAGGGCAACAGAGAGAGAGCGAGAAGGCATAACTGCCTGAACCAGATCTGAAAGCTACACCATCACGTGCTTATTAATAGCTCACGTTGCAAAGTAAGAACCTGTGCTTCTTCAGCACCTCATCACGTCAAAACATCACGAAGATCTTCCCGGGTAATTACTCTCCAGTGTAGTGAATAGATATCTGCAGGTAAACCACACAGCCTCTTGATCCAGCGAGGTCCAGAAACAGCCATTGGGTAAATGATCGATTTATCTGGAGGATTTGAGGGCCAAGACCTGGGGAGAAACTCTTCTCTTTTCTAATTGTCTCACGGGATTAATAGGTGTTTGTAGGAGATTGCTGTGCGCAGATTGGCTGCTTGTGTACGTATACCACAGTCATTACATTTCACAGTAAAAATCCTGGGAAGCATTGAGCTATTTCAATGATGTGATAAGGCACTACAAAAAATTGCAAAGATGATTATTATTTTTTTATTTAGACGACATAAATTTAAGAAGTTTTCTGTCCACTTTCTCTAATTCCAACGGACTGTATTTAGCGAAAACAGTGTACGTAAAACTTGTGATGTATTGAATAAGAAATACACAATTTTTAAAAGCTGCAGCGCAGGATATTGAGGATGAAACCACTGGAGCTAATTCATACAGCTGAGACTTGAGGGAGTTACTGTTATGAGCCTGTTTAATAAATCATTACGTCCCACATTGTGGCTGCATAACGCAGAGATTGCTAGCTGGAGATATGCCTGCGGAAATCTGCTAACGACCTCGATATGAAAGCAGAGCAACAAAGTTTAGGAGACTCCGGTTCCCATTCATTCCAATGAACATTAGCAGTGTTTCTGTGTAATGGTGTAACAAGGCTGACGCTGGCTTCTCATCACAGGGCACACAGCAATGCAGGAGATGCACATAAAATCCGATTGCTCCATTTGTGACCAAACTCAAACCCAGAAGCCGTTGGTACAATCCTAGCTGTGAGGCTGAGAGGAGATGAGGGACATGCCTATCACCTATGTCCATCACCTGCCATTTCTATTGATTTCTTTCGATCAGTTTAGACTCTTCCTTCCAGGTGTGAAATCCACCCATAAATTACAACCACTCCAGTTCTCGCAGACTGTAACTGATCGATTTTAGAATTCCATATTTGCCTTCAACACCAATTAGGTTTTATTGCCTTTTCTGTAACTCTGCTCTCGGGCAGTGCAGGAGTCAAGTGTCGCTTTCTCTGGGGACTGGTGTGGTGTTCCAAGGTCAATGAACTGCACAGAGCTGACCACTGGCTGATCAGATCAGAACCCAGCACATGCCAACCCCTGCCCAGCTCCGCCTGATTTCACAGTGGCTCAGTAGAAACCTAGGCTTCGACTTGCAAGGTTAACAGGAACTGAACATGAAGAACCTCTGCCCCTCCTAGTCCTGCCAAGCTGGCTCACTCGAACAGAAACACCATCATCTTCCCATTACAACATCAAATAACTTATCGTAGCACAGCAACACTGCAGTCAGCTATTCATTTGTAGTATTTGATGACTTAGTTGTCACACTTGTCTGAAACAGACAGACTTTGTTACCAGTATCAGCACGAATGTAACTAAGTCCCCATTAATAGCTCTCACGTGCTCTCCTATTAACACACATTAGGAGGACACATCTGAGAGGTACTTCTGACTGAGACACAATCTGCTCCCTTTTTTGCAGGAGGATTGTTTTTCTCTGGGAAAAGAATCTGCAGTGAATCAATCATCCAGAATTGCTAGGATCTATTTGTTAGAGGGGAAGTGTGGGGAGTGGGGGGAGGCAGTTATTTGAACAGAAATGGGAAAGCAATCTTTTAATATTTCCGACATTTACTAAAATTATGTGCAAAATGGGACGACTAAATGGTACAGTTGAGATGTGGGTATGTTTGCCTCACATCATCCCTGCAAATCAAGCTTTTCTTTATTAATGAGATTAAGCCACCACCACTGGAATGCTCTCTGACGTGAGATGCCTTGCAATGCTTCCGAGCAGTGAAAGAGGAACACTGTAAAAATGATTTCCTTCAGTGCGAGAGACAAGCTTTAATATATCTCACCCGGAAACTTGCTGAGTAGAGCTGGGGAAAAGCTCAGAATACACAATTACTGTGAATGCAATCTCACTGTCCTTTCCCACTGCTGCCGCCGACCCAACACTGGTATAAACAATGCCACTGTTTTCAGTGAGTGCTTTTGGAATCTGTTGCAGTCCAATCAATGGTGACAAGCACCTGCTATGCTAATGGACACTTCTCATCCGACAAAATCAAATCAACACAAACAAAAAAGCCCTGTGTGAATTTACTATTGGCCGTGTTCCTCTCTGATTTTATAGGCAGGTGCTGGAACTCTAAATCTGTAATTAAACCTTACTTATTGCCTTCCATTTTCTGGTGAAACCCTGTCATTGTAAGATGAGAAGCTGAATAAAAATCATTGCCAATTGTCACAAAGTGATGGTTTGACTTGCTTGATGCCTGTTACTAAGCTGACTCCAACACTCATTGCTTTCAGGGGGGAGAGATTATGTTGTGATAAAACTAGCCAGCAGATTAGGAGCGCCAAGTGCGTTCTTTGTAAGGAGAGAAAGATTTTCTTTTACTGTACCCTTAAGGTGCCCTCGTCCCAGCGTCACAAATCCTGAAGAGATGAAGTCATGCAAATCTGGCGCTCCCCTGCTGTAGCCGTGACCAGAGCTCGTGTCTTTCCCGTAAAGTCCTGTGGGCGAGAAGAAGTGTGTTAGGATTTGCCACTGACAGAGAGGGTGGCATTCACGTTGCTAATCCCCTCCCCCCACCCCATTGGTGAGCGAGCTTTCAGCTGGTTGTTAGTCAATTGTTTTCCAATGGTAATAATCCCTAAAAAAAAGGTCACTGACTCCACGACTGTTTGTGGGACGCTGCTGTGTGCAATTGGCTGCCGCGTTTCGCCCACAAAATACACAGTCAATTCACTTTACAACATGTTATCTGAGGCGCTTTGAGATGTCTAAATGACATGGTGAGGCACTATATCAAATGCAAGGATTATTATTGTTATTATTATTACAGAATTGAGGCATCGGTGGCAACAATGCATTCAATTGAGTAGAAGAAGCTTGTGGTACCCAAATTCACCCAAGTGTAACCGGCCCCATCAGTGACAGACCCATAAATACACCACATTTCTCATTTAAAGAGAAAAATCTGCGGCTGAGATAATGTAGCTTCCCTTTCTTGCCACAACAGACGTTGAACTTTGTTTCCTTATTTTGCACTTACAATTCCTGGTTTGATTCAGTCAGCATTCACAATGTTCACTCATCAGTTTACAGAGCAGGCAGCTCATTAACCAGCACGTCTCTTTAGCCTTGCTGTTTCATAATGCCTCCCTTTTGTACATGACAGCTAACAAACAATACAGTATTATAAAAATAACTGACACAAAGCCGCAAAAAACAGGGTGTCTGGCTTGTGTTTATTAGGTAAATAATAAATACAGATCATACTGAGATTAAAAGCCTGGAGTTAGGGTTAGGATTATTTCTCACAGCGCATTGCATAACAGTGATCTTCTGACTGTGATTGAATGTGTCAACACAACGGACTTTCACTCCAACTCCGGTTAGTCCCAATGTGTCCAGTTGACACTACCAGGAACTCCCAGAGCTGCGAACCTCTCACACAATTCTCTCAAAACACAAAGCAACTTAGTCTCAGCATTCGACTATATTAGGGTTCTATTAAGTAGTTGCACCAGAAGATGGAAAGCAGAGTTTTGACCTTCCAGAAGGATATGAAGGCGTATCATCAAATATCTATTTGTGTCTAGAAGGCACAGCGCAAAGGCAAACACATTCACACACAGTTAATGTCCTCCTAAAAGGAGGAGAGCAACTTATTTGTGGGTCCAATTTCACTCTGGCTACTGGAATAGTGACTGTGAAGGGACTGGTGGTGTGATTCCGATCATGGGTTTAAGAGTTTATAGTAATCTTGCAAAGTAAATCTACATAAGCTATAGCTCCTTCGATGGCGCAGTGGTGAAGCACCACCTAGGGTAGCTCTTGGCTGTGCAGTGGCTGTCCAGTGGTTGGGACCACAATTGGCCTTGGCATCCTCTGGATCAGGGTGATGAATGCCAGCCAGAGTTTCTGATCACTGTGCAATGCAGCCCTGATGAATGTCAGAGAAAAGAAGTGAACTTGACTTGAAATAAAATCCTAACATTCTCCATTTGGTTCTCTCTTTCTCCTGGCTATTTGTCACTTTAATGGTCAGTGAGTAAATAACAATAATCTTGTACTTGGTATTAACGCTTTTCACATCAGGAGGACGTCTCAAAGCGCTTCACAGGAGCGAAGTGACTGTGTAATTGTAGGAGATCACTGCGGCCCATTTGTGCACAGCAATGTCCCTCACAAACAGCCATGAAAATCTTTACAAACAAATCACAGCTTCAATCAGATACACAAAAATAAAACCTTTTACAGTGGTCAGATAGATTGAAAGCGACACAAAATGTATTCTTTTTGTTAAAATAGAAAAGGTTGTCAATGAGAATCTACAGATCTTCATCATGGCTGGAGCGTCCGTGTGTTAATATTGTTACTGCTATCGGACCAGTTCCTGGCTGTCTCTCCTACCTCCAAATACGTCAACGAGTCAGGCAGGGAGCCAGTCACACCGGCCGCTGTGCTGTGGGGTGACTGGGGTCAGGCTGTGTTTGGGCGACGACTTTGGACGTCAGTTTGACGTTGCTCAGCCGCCCCGCCACCTGCCCCCCTCCACCCACGCCCCACCCCCCTCCATGTTACTTTTCATTGCAAACCTTTTTGAACAAAAAAACAAAACCTGTGACGTAAATAACGGCAAACCAGAAGTCACAGGAAGATGAGAACAGGAGAAAGCCATTCAGCCCGTCAAGCCAAATCCATCAATTTATTAGCTCAAGGCAGATCTTCTAATCCTGCCCTTACTCCATCGCCCTCAACAACACCTTCCCATTATAATATAATAATAATCCTTGCATTTGATACAGCACCTCATCACATCTTCGAGATGTCTCAAAGTGGTTCACAGGATATACCGTAAAGTGTAGTGACTGTATACTTTGTGGGCGAAACGTGGCAGCCAATTGCACACAGCAGTGTCCCAAGTGGTACAGTCTCCTCTATCCAATACGAGGAGTGTGCTTTATACAAGTGGGCAGTGCCAGCCATCTGTGCCCATCATTCCCCTATGACGCTCTGCAAAGAATGTAACAGAAGATGGAACCGAGCCAGTCCCTTCCTGCTTATTCCTGGTTTCCCTGCTGCTGTTCATTTCCAATCCAACGAAGAGACGCAATAATAATCCTTGCATTTGATACAGCAACTTAGCCTGTCGGCAAAACACCTCAAACAACTTCACAGGAATTTTACTGTAAACTATAGTGACTGTATCACAGGTAAGTGCGACAGACATGTTGTGCAAAGCAACGTCCCACAAACAGCCATGAAGTGATGGCCAACCTCTTCTCCGGGAGATTATTGGCCAGAACTACGGGGAAAAACTCCCTTCTCCTTTTCGGATATTGCCGTTAGCATCCACCTGGACAGACAGACAGCTCCCTGGTTTAACGTGTCAACCGAAGAACGGCACCTCCGACAATACAGCACACCCCTAGCACTGCACTGGCCGTCAGTAAAACAGCAGCCTTTGGAATATTTGTTTCAGTGTTTTGGAAGCTCAGGGATAAGCGGTCTTCCGCTCCCAGCCTGAACAATCGCCTGAACAATGGCTCAAAGAGTAGAGGGTCTGACATTGATCTCTAGGTATCACGAAACACCAGGGTATGATCCTTGCTCTGTGCTGTGAGATTCCAGTCATCAAAGCACAATATTCAACAACAACCATTTGCATTGATATAGTGGAGCAACGCCTCGGAATGTGTTCAGCGCTTTGGGACGTCCTCCCGAAGTGAAAGGCGCTCTATAAATGGAATCTTGTTGTTGTTGTTGTTGTGTTCAACTCAATAGCTAACGTGCTATGATTGATCTCTGTTCCCTGAGTTGGGAAGGGGAGATATTGGCAAAGCTCCTCACTGAATGTTCTGGGGCGGGGAGAGAAGAGAAAGGTTTTGGTCAGGCTTGGATTTGATCCACTTCAGCATCAAATAACCTGCCAACGTTTGTGGCCAGAACCCAAGCATGAAGAATGGGTAAAGATACTGGAGATGTCTTTTGGCATCGTGGTGATCTAGTGCGAGCTGTTTCCTAGCTCAAGAATGTTTGATGTTGCAAACAAAATGGCCACGTTGGTGCAGAAAGGAACAGTGCTTTGGTTGCAGCCTCTCCCGCTCCCCCCTTGTTATCCTACATCCAACCAGGGCTACATCTAACCTCACTGAGCAAAGTAGGACAACACGTTTCACAACCAGCGCTGACACCCCTCATCTCAATTTTAATTCACAGCAAACAGATGACTACAGTTGAGTTTCACTTTTCTGTTCCTCTCATAGATTTCCTCCTCTAGAGAGACGGAGGCTTAATCTGCCCTTGTCTGACAACACCAATGTGGTCAAGTGAATCAGAGGTGATCAAAAATGTAGCTCTAGCTTGGAATTTCAAGACACTGCGTATCAGGCAAACCAGGCCACACAAGTGTGAAGCTGATCATAATTGGCATGTGATGGTGATAATCAGGATGGTGCTGTTTGCCTCTGACAGGGTGAAATATTAATAATAATGTATCTGATATAGCGCTTTATCAGAGCATCAAGATGTCTCAAAGCACTTTGCAATTATACACTGAAGTGATGTGACTTTGTATTTTGTAGGTGAAAGAGGTATGTAGCCAATTTGCACAGAGCAATGTTCCACAAATTAGTTTTATCTGAAGGATTGTTGGCCAGGACACCGAGAGACAGAGTGAAACTCCCTTCTCTTTGCAAATAGCACCATGGGATCTTTAACATCCACCTGAACAGACACGGGCAGACAGGGCCTCGGTTTAACATTTCATAAGAAGGATGGCACCTCCGACAATGAAGTGCTCCCCCAACACTGCACAGGAGTATCAGTGCGGACTATATCAGAGCAGAGTGCCGGCAGGGAATTCGCACTTTCTCCCCACCAGGATTCAATGTTTCCCAATCCAGATTTCAAGTCCCTCATTTCAGTCCACGGTATCTTATCTTACACTGTCACGTACAATGTGGTAATTAACACATCACGTGATGAGTATCATCTGGTAAATGTGAATGTTAATTAAGTGTTTTGTTTGCATCACATTTTGTTCATTTAAAAGCCCCCTTTGAAGTTCATTCTTGTCTCAGTTCCTCCCGATCTCACAATCCGCCCACCTGGAAGATTTGAGTAGCATCACTCCTCCTCTCTGTATATCCCTTAATTTCTGTCCCTCCCACATGTACTGTGTAGCCCAGTGTGAACCGCACCATAGAAACAAGGCAATCCAGGCTTTATATCCACGATTCAGGAATCACACATTGTGATTTTAGCAGCTAAATATGAGAACAATTTGGCTCAGTGAGTGGACTCCTGTCTGAATCAGAGGGTTGTGTGTTCAACCTCGCACCACCCCCCCCACACACACACATCTCCAGGTCTCCATGCTAATGTATTACACCACCCAGTCTTAGGTTTATTTACTCTGTTTTCTTGGGGGGAAAAAAGATGGCGTTTTAAAGTTTGTAACCAACATATCTATTTACGATAATAATAATCCTTGCATTTGCTA